GTTATCCTTATGCAGGAGGTTTCAATGAGAAAGTCATCAGAGATTTCTAGACACAGCTTAAGTATTACCAAAATCATCAACCAGACTGAAAAGGAGCAGAATTACTTGCTCTTGATCTGCACCCACATTCCCATTACTGAAGATACTGTCATCTGAAGGTGAAGAGTCATGTCATTTTCCAGAAGAGAACATGTTGCCACCATTGCTTTGGATCAACTGCTTGTTGATCAAAGCAAACCCTGCTCTCAGAAAAGCAGTAGGAAAAATATCAAGCCTAATATGTGAACAAAACATTAAATAGCTACATTTATTTTTCTAATATTTTTCTCAGGTGGCTCAGAGGTTGTGATTTCAGTAGTGATAATTATAGTTACCCTGTCTGTAACTGCTACTACTACCACCACAAAACACAAACTCTTAGACCAGGACATGACAAGAAATAACTGCACTCCAGGTATCTCGTTACTCAAAATTTTAAGTACTTTATTGAACAGACTCCTTGCGGAGTCTCAGATGCTGCTTGTTGTTGGAAAGGAGAGAAACAAGAATGTATACAGCAATATAGGTTTACTGCAATTCATTGTTTCCTCAAAATCAGATTTCAGTTGATGACCCTGTAAGATGCAGAACACCAAGATTTCACCTACTTCTTGAAAAAATCCTGTTAACTCTTTCCTGAGTCTAAAACTATAATCTGAAAGAGCTCATACAGGCAATATCAATAAGATGTCAATCTTCATACTGTGGTGTCCGCTGAGCCAAGAGGAAGGCCTATACCACAGGACATGTCACACCTGATATGCTGGTCATGTCCTGTAGCAGGTGTGAAAAGGGAGCAGAGGCACTTGGTCCCCAAAGGTACATGAAGAAAGGAGGCCCTGTGCTCAGACCAGCGTAAGTACAGTATCTGCACCTGGAAGCTCTGAAAGCACACAGTGGGTGTATTTACACATGCAATTAAGACAAAGAAATAAACTCTGGTGCAGTTCACACCAAAGTTTATTTCTCCTGGGCACAGTATTTATGTGTGCGCCCAGAACTGCAGCACATTGGGTCGAGGCAGAGCAGCCCCAGGCTGGCAGGGGTCCTGGGGGTCAGCAGCAGGCTCCGAGGGGTGGTGTCAGGGCTGGCTGGCATGAGGTGCTACAGTGTGGGGCTAGCCAGCAGGCAGCTCCTGCACTGTAGCACCCTTGCACCCCATTGAGCCCTGGTAACTGTCTACATATGCATTGCGGCAGAATAAATTACACCACCATAGGATAGTATTTGTTCTGAATAGTACTACCTACAGGGGAGTTGATTAATTTACTGCACCCTAATATGGGCACCAGTGTAGACTGTGGTGTTTATGGTGAAGCTAATTAGTTGACTCCATAGTATAGTGTACATGTACAGTATGGATGTGGATTTGCACCATTTCCATTGCATTCCTGTTGAGCAGGTAGCCAAATGTATTCTTCATCAGAGGGCTGCCGGATTGAAAGTTACAATGTAAAATGGTGCCTGTACATGTGATGGGGTTTAGTCCTTACGGTTGCATTCTATGTCCCCTAAATTGAAATAGTGGGTTTTTAATTTAAACCTACCATTTCAATTTAGGGGTTTCTATCACTGTTACAGCAAGGGGCTCAATCCCTTTTTATTTTTTTTTGGTGGAGCCTGTCCATGGCCATGGGGCAAGCTGCTAGTGTGCTGAGCAGCCCCTGAGCTGTGTGTATGGGGGGGCGGTCCTTCCCTCTGTGGTGGCAGCACGCCTGGGGGATGCCCAGGCAGCCAAGCCTGATCCAACTCTCTCCCGACCCCGAGCTGGGGCAGCACCCGGTTCACTAGCAGCCCTCTGGGGTGCCCCTGGGGAGTGCTGCTGCTGTGGAGGAAAGGACTAAGGCAAGCTGACCAATAGCTGCAATGCATCACTGCAAACTAAACTACATCAGACTGTAGTTTAGTGTGCAACAATGTAAACTCATTTAAAACCCCCAAACTCCTGCATGTGTACAGTGTGATACCAGTATACCACACAAAGTGACATTCTCATCACATGTACATGGTAATGGTGTCATGTGTATAAATTCCTGAAGTGATAAGCAGTTACAGTAGTTGGAAGGCTGAGGACAAATAGATGGTCTACATTTTGGGATATCATGAAAGCAGACATAACATTGTTTCTCTTTTCCCCCATAGTTATATTCCTACAAGCCCAATTCCAGGTTTGCAGTATCCTGTGTCAGGATTCCAAAGAAAGAAAATGCCCCCTCCAGTTTTGTTAGCATTCCTTCAATTATTACAATCAATTGCAACCATAAGAGGAATGATTCTCCACTAGTCCCACTGATGGTTTCAGATTCTGAGGGCAGCTCAGGGAAAAATTGATACATATACAATCCAGATACCAGGAGAAGTCAGGTAAGCTCTGAAAAAGCAAACATATTTGGGGGCCTCAGATAAAGCAGAAGGGAACCTCAACATCTTTTGATGTTGGCCCATCACTGATAATTACGAATGTGAGATTAGGTACCATCATTTATTCTTCTAAATAATGTCATCTCTTCCAATTAAGATCAACTACTCGCACCTCTTCAATTGCTTTATTAGCATTGTTGTCAAGTTCTGCAGAAGCTTTAATTAACCAGTCATCATAATTATAGCTAGTTTTCCAACTGATCGAGGTAAATAATTTATGTAAAGATTTTAAGATTTTTTTTACCTATTGAAACACTGTATTTAATATAAACTTTTAAAGTATGTAGATACAAAGAATAGACAATCAACCCTTGAAACAACGGAGATGATATGAAAATGAACATTAAAACTGAACTAACTAAAATTTTTCAGGATTGAGCAGTTAGCAAGATAATTAAACTTTTCAGAGTGACAAGCAAAATTAACAATTGAAAAAGCTGTGATTTATTTGAGGGGCATTAAGCAGACTGTGGGAGGCACTCAGTCCAGAAATAAGTTTTAACTATGCTTTATAAAATTAATTTTTCTTTTCTGATGAATGATCTTGGTAATCCTGGTTTGTACAAAGGTATTCTGGAATGATGTACTGTGAAATACAAGATATTATAGACAGCAAGACTGTGCGAAGCAGCTAGTATTCACTTCGGATTCAGATTCAGCCAATTTGGGGGACAGTTAATCAACTGGGTGATTTGAATCACCGTTCCAATTCAATTTGGCCGAATCTGATTTGGAGATTTAGCTGCTGCTGAATCTCCGAAACTCTGAATCAGCTAGGCCAGGCCCATCCCCCGCCCTTCTCCCAGCCCGGCAATAGCTGCCCCAGCTCCAAGCACTTGAAAGAAAAAAGCCCCGGCTCAGCGGGTACATGAGCCCCACAGCTCCCCCCCTCACTCTCCCAGCCCCTCCACAGGTGCCCTGCCTGGGCCAGCTCCAGCCCTTTAAGACAAAACACCCCCCAAAAAAACCCCTGCACTCACCGCTCCTGCTGGTGTGGGGCGATCCCTGTTTCCTCCTACTGCCCCGCACCACAAGGAGGGCTGTGCAAGAGCCCCAGAAGCCCCAAGGCCACTGCAGAAGGGGAGAGTCCTGGGGCTTTTCTCGGCTTTTTTTTTTCTTAAAGGGTCGGAGTTGGCCCCAGTGAGGCACCTGTGGAGGGCCTGGGGAAGTGGGGAGGGGTTGGGGGGCTTGTGGCAGAGCCCCCCATGCAGCATGGGGCAGTGGGGATCATCACCCCCCCATACACCTGGCAGCACCCAGTAAGCACCAGGGCTTTTTTTTAAAGTACTGGGAGCTGGGGTGGGCAGGGCAGCCATGGGGGGCGGG